GTTGGTCATTAAATAATATTCATTTTTCTTTTCAAATTTGTTCTGTAATGAGATTTATAACTATTATTACACATACATACCGAAATAAAAGGTATACATAACAAACACATTTTTACTAATAAACAACACAAGTTTTGTGTAACATACAGCCTAGTATGGACTCTGAACTAGATTTTATAGTTACAAATGGGTATCAATATCCTTTATTACATGGATTGAAGCTGTAAACTTCAAAATCTCACTTTTATGCTATCTAACTCAACACTCAACTCATGGACTTCTCTCTGTTTCTCATTCAGATTTCTAAATCCCATGCTTCTTCTGAGTTAGAACACTTTTGCTCCCAAACTGAGATTACATTCTGCAAAGAATTCATGAAAATTCAAACATCAGACAAACAGACACACACATACCCACATTTGGTAAACCAACACATAAATTAACAGTTAATAGCTTGAAAGCTTCCAATTATGTAGCAGAGATGGACACAATTTCTTATATTAAAAGGTTTTCTTATATTATATCCCAAATCTAAACATAGGTAGGAAAGTGGAATCTATTTTGTCATTGCATATATAAACAAATAACATATACATATCCACAATTCTACAAATAAAATAAGAATGAAACTCTTCTTCAACTTCCTGTTTGTAGCAGCCTGCATCAATAAAAGTAGAGAATGAATTTTCAAGATAAAAATTAAAAAACTTCAACAACCATTCAAACCTAGTACTCAAAACTTGTAGTTCTACATTAAAAAAAATCATAAAATCAGAACTTCAACCTGTGAGACTGCTTCAATTGTGGAAAAGCACAACCAGATCTGCTAAAGAGCTGAACAAGATCTAGAGAAAGTAAAAACCATCTTTCAAAGGCAACACAACTACAAATAAAAGATCAACGGGTAAACATTATTTTGGATTAGAAAATTTTCAAAATACGACAAGGATAAATTAAGGATAAATTCGAAATAGGGAACCTAATACAGATTCAATTTACACAAGAATGGCGAAAAATATGAGTGTAGATTGAAAATCCATACACGAAAAATTAAAAAAGATTTATACTCATGTAAACGGCAGAGCAATCGCACAATCTATAACACAGAAAACGAACTGGCGATGAATGAAGAAAACGAACTGACGGAGACGAATGAAGAAAACAGAATGGCCGACGGTTACATACCTTCAATTCATCCTCATTATTGGCCAAGTCAAGAACAATCGTCAGCGGTGACGATTTTTCTTCAGCTCCGCCATATATGGTTGCGGCTCAAGGTTGACTGAGATGTGGTGTGTTGTGAGAAAGAAATCTTAATAACCCTAGGCAGAGCAGCAGTCGGCGGTGATGACTTCATCTTCGCCGCAGCTCCTCCATATACGGTTACGGCTCAAGGTTGAGATGCGAAGTGTTGTGCGAAACAGAGAAAGGAAAATCAATAACCCTAGTACTTCAATACTCCGTACGTATTAAGTAAGACCAAGTATTTTACTCCGTAAATGCTTTAGTACTCCGTATAAAATAAAGGTAGCCACAATTTTTCTCCAATAATGACGGTAGAGATTAAAATTTTCAAAATTGGTCATAGTTTTAGTTAGGGTTCTTTTTTACTCTCATAAAAATATAAAAACGACACTATTAATGAGGGGCTTTTGGTACTGTCATTAAATTCCCTCACTACTAAGTGGTTTTCTTTATATACTAATGTCGAACAACATTTTGCAGGGCATAAATGTGATCAACTAATACACGAAAATACAAATACGAAGTATATATGTTCCAAGCAATTGATATAGTTATACGTAAATATAGCTACACGTATAACCGATTAGTTTTATAAATAAGTTTTAAATAAGTATTAAAACCAGTATACTTCAACTATTAAGAAGTGTTAGCCCAACTTAAGGAGTATGACATAGATATAAAAGCAGCTGAGTTTAAAACCCGTGTTTGTTTGAGCGTATATGGTATTACATCAAATATTAAATAAGTATTAAAAGAAGAATAAAACCTTAAGGCTTTATGAAATTTTTGTTAAAATAGGGGTCACATAAGTATAGATAGGTTACACCTTAGAGATTTTTAAAAAAAAAAAGACTGGTCATACAAGTATGATTGCTACGTGTAAAAACTGATTTAGTTTGAAAGCAGCATTATGTATAAATTTGGAATGAAGTGTAAAAGACAATAAAACCAACTTAGTTTTAATAACAATGTTACTTTGAAAGTTGTATTACATTAAACAGATATTAAAGGCATTATGGACACCATACTTTAAAAACAATGCAAGTTTCAAAGCAGTATACAAACCATTAAAGAAGTATAACAGATTAGGTTTATAAACAAATTGTTGAATTCATCCAAGATAATTTAATTATAGGGTTCATATCGGTATGAGAAGTTAGTTTGAAAAACAGATTTAGATTCAAAACAATTTTTTTCAAAAAAATCGTATACACACGTGTGAATAAATTTATGAAAGATTAGGTCTAAAAACCAAGTGCTTAATTTATCCAAGTAAGATTAATCATAGGGTTTATGTATGGTTGACAGATTTGTTTTAATACAAAATTTAGTTTGAAATTATTAAAAGCAGTATATTAAAATAAAATAAAATATGTATTAGACCAAAAAAAACAATTAGATAAGTATCAAGTAAAATTAAGTATATTAAGTATTAAATATGTATTATGAGAGATTAGTTTTAAAAGCAGAGTTGTCTCAAATTACGTTTGCCTGTAAGGGGCCAAGTCATTTACAAAGAACAGTTGATGTATACTACGGGTACAATATATTAGTATTTGTAGTACGATTCTCTTATAAAAATGTGTGACACCATGGTGCCCCTTATCTCATTTTGAGAGACATTAGCTTGGATGTGTCACTTATGTAAACGCGATTACTATTCAATTCCGACCATTGTTTATAGATCCATCAACTTAATCAGTATTAAAAAGCTTTATAATCATACATAATTCATATTACACCTATGAGGTCTAAACATAAATCAGTTTGTAATAAGTATGTATGTAGTTATATATATAAACATGTATTTGGTTCGGATTATCGTATAGTTATAAAAAATTAATACATACAACGTATTTCAAAAATAATGTCTAATATAAATAATTAGAAACTATTATTTAAAAAATTATACAGATTCGACAAGAAAATGAAGTATATATTAACAAAATCTTATTAAATACAATATTTTATGAAATCCGTTTGTTTAAATCGACTAAAAAAACATGTTATAAACATCTTATATTACTAGAGATCTGTACCACAAAATGAGGGACCCAGACAGAGTAGTCATTCGGTCGCCAATTTTTGCGAATGTATTCCAAAAATTGATCAAATTTTGACATTAGAAACCGGATCCATGAAGTAAACTTATTGCATGTTTCATATCGGGTAGTTAACAACAAAATAGTGATGACAGATGAACAAAAAGTAGGGATGTGGGGATATACCGATTAGTTTTTACAAATCTACTGAAAAAAGGATCCAAAATATACCAATAAGTGTTGACAACGGTCGGTCTACAATTCACGTGCCCACACACCGACATACCACCAACAGTTAGATTACGTTGAAGGAGCTCGACAGATCCGAAACCCGTCATATAGAGAGTGGAGATATATAAATACACACCACACATTTACGGACAAGGACCTAGGTGTGGAAGAACAAGGGTTTAGAGGGTATGAGTTATGATTATAAGCGTTGTGGTGCATTGTTGGTGAAGGTCGAAACAGAGAGTGTAGAGGGAGTTAAAGCGGTGGAATTATCTCGAAGGGGCAATATTATGTACGCTGGGTAATAGGGTGGGTTGGAGAAAATGGGGTATTTATAATAGAGTTTGGGCTGGTAGGTTAAATTGTAATGGGTTTGGGCTGGGTAGGTTGTAGTGGAATGGATTTGGGCTGGCTAAAATTAGTTTTATTTTAATAGCATCCAAATAAATCTTAAAATATTTTAATTGTGTTGTAATCATTTGTAATTATTATAATGTATGATATTTATTAAATTGTCCTTCTTTTGACCTGAATTAATTTCTCATCCCAATATATTGTTACTTCGAAACGACACACTTTTATGCAAAAAAAAAATTAAGAAATTACATTTTTTGCCTATCAGTTTTGTGTGGCATATAAAATATAATGTATATATGGTGGGATTTTTTACAAATTGAAATGCTCCCAAATGAACTTGAACGAATTCTTTATGTAACTACTTTAAATTAAATAATTAGGTAATCTAGGTTTACTATATAAATATAATATAATGTTCTTTTCCGTTTGTTGATAGAAAATGTTGGTCAAAATGGAACAATGTTGATTGTTACCCAACATGGAAATCACATCCCTGGAGCAAGAATTTTAATTAGGAAGGAAATATGATGGTCTAGAAGTTGTCATTCCAAGGTTAAGTTTAACTCCTTCAGATGCAAGAATACCGTTCAAGTTTCAAAGAAGGCAATTTACAGTCATGACTTCGTATGTCATGACAATAAATAAGAGTCAAGGATAATCTTTGACTCATGCTGGCCTCTTATTAAAGAAACATGTAGTGTTTACGCATGGTCAATTGATTTGCGGTGAAGATGGGGAAACAACTAACCATACTACAAATGTTGTTACAAAGAAGTCTTTTGAAATATTTAGTCTTAGTAGATTTCATTGAATGCTTCAAATGCTTACAAACCGTGTTTCGAAATCTTATTATATGCTTCGTTTTTCCCTCCTTATCTTAATATATGAATCGTACCAATTATGACTATACATTTAAATAATATCATCTACACATTTACTTACACGTGTAGATGACTATACTTACCTTTATAATTATTATTGATTATTCATATATATTACACGTGTGTAAATTCAATAATATCATCTACACATTTACTAATAAAGTTAATAAATAATATCAAACTCTACGATAATATGGCCCGTGCACGGGTGAAAATCTAGTTTTTAGTAAAACCCCCGTTAAAACCACAGCTCGTTATGAAGCCATAGCTTTTTGTGAGTGAAAAAGCTCAAAATGGGATTGCAGTACTCCTTTTCGATGCTTAGACTATTCTGCAGGCTATCACCTTCTACGCCCAAACTCCTTTCAGTCCTAACTTGTGCATCAGCAAAGGTGAAATATTTAAGGATAAGGGCATTCGGAACAGCAGCCGTAGTCGTCGCCGAAAAGAACGGTGGCGACACCTTCTTCGCGGAGGAAGACGTTTCCTGGACGTCTCTGGGAGTATCTGACCGCCTTTCTCGGTCTCTATCTAGTATTGGCCTTCAGAGACCCTCTCTTGTTCAGGTTCGCCGTTCGCAGCTTATTTATGCATTTAATTGCATTTGTCATTTCTTATTCTAATTTTAACACAGAAGGATGTAGTCCGGATCACGAGGCCTGACTTTTATCTTTAATTTAACTTTAATTTATATTTAGAGTTCGTTTTTAAATTTCACATATTTAAAAATTATGCTAAAAATTCGATTGAAATTAAAAAACTAGCATTGATAGAAGCCTTGATTGGACCAAATGAGTTGTAAAAGTGATTTCTTATATTTGGAACAAACAGAGCAGTACAAACTCCAGATTAAATTTTTGGACTAGTTAAGAAGCCATTAGACATACTGTTTGAAGTTTGAATTGCCATTTGGTATATATTTCCATAATGGACTATCTTTATTCATGCTTTTGTTTAAATTCAGTAGATTAGATAATAAATTATGAGATTCATATGAGCTGTAAGTGATTAATTTTATTTAGACAATGCTAATATAGTAATGTGTTATTAATCTCTGATTTTTTTATCTTGGCCATTCTGGTGTATATTGAATCCCAAAAATGCTATGAAAAGGGAACAACTTTAGAGTTCCCTTTTCAACTTTATAAATTTTTAAATATGTGAAATTTAAAAACGAACTCTAAATATGTGTATTTTGAATCAATTACTAAGGGAAGTTATCTTCTTATGTTTGACTTTGACTTTATATTGATTATTGAAAAACTAAGAAAATAAGGTATTACTTATTTTTTCATAATCTTGCTTAATGTTGCATATTTAATTTTATAAGTCTTGTGATAGAAATTAATAAATATTGAAAATCAATTCCTTAGACTTTATGATATATATCTAGTTTTTGTATGAAAATGAGTAGTTACTGCCATGATCTGCTATGACAGCTTTAGGTTAAAATGCATTGCAAATATATTATACCTATTGAGTGCTTTGACATCATGCTATTACCTTAAGTATCTTATTTGTTGCTAAGAAGGATTTTCATCTTATGAATCTGATTACAGACTGCTTGCATACCAAATATACTTTCGGGAGCTGATGTGGTTGTTGCTGCAGAGACTGGTAGTGGGAAAACCCATGGCTACTTGGTTCCATTGATTGATAAGTTATCTCAAAGTGGTGGTATATCAGGAGGGGAAGGTATTGGTGATCGGGAAGCCTCCATGTCCCGTCAACTTTCTCTAGTTCTATGTCCAAATGTCATGCTGTGTGAGCAAGTGGTTCGCATGGCTAATTGTCTTTGTGACAACTGTGGTGAACCATTGCTCAAGGTTGCTGCTGTTTGTGGTCGACAGGTTTGTGATATGTATACATCGTATCATAACATACATACATCATTAAGGCATTTTGTTCCGGTTGTATAGTACTTAAATAACGTAGGTAATGTGCCTTTTGTTCTATTAGATTACAGTATTGCACTGTTTAGTCCATGCTCTGTGATAGCCTCATTAATGATTCCTACCTTTTAGGACTTCGGGTAATCTACAAGGTTATGCAAATATGTTACGGGCAGCTTGTGTGCAAGATCTCGTCACAGGCCTTCGGGTGAGTGGGAGGGTAGATTGAGCTTTGGAAGGGTTGGCTATGTTTACTGTTTGGGCAGAAAACTAAGAAGAATATAATTATGCAAACTTTTATCAAGTTGGAATTTTTTGTTGAGAATTCCAGAAACTCCCTCAGACTTTTCTTGCTAAAAACTTGCATGCTTTTTCCCTGCATTCAACTGGCCTTTAAATAGCCTTTACAGAGCTTGGAAAATAAAATAAAGAAAACAATTAAACAGAAAAAAATAATTCAAAGATTGCAATCAGAAAATGATATCTCAAATCTCTAAGGATCTCAAATCCCTGACAGTGACATGTCTATCAGATTTGTCTGATTTATTTGTCTCCCAGATTTGTTTGATTTTATTTGTCTTCCAAATCAGTTTGATTTGCCATTGTGATTTGTTGACTTTTATCTTTCTTTCTTTTACGGTGATACTGACGCCCTGTGAATGCATCATTACTCCCTTCGTTGAGATCAAGCTTGTCCTCAAGCTTGAAGGTAGGAAAGTGAAGATTGAACTCATCGACATCCTCCCAAGTGGCCTCATCTGGATGCATGCCAGACCACACAACTAAAATCTCTTTTCTGCCCCTGTTAAGACGACCCCTTAAGACCTCCTTTGGTTGTGGCAGAAGCTTACCGTCGTGCAGATTAGGTAGTGTGGGAGACTGTGCTGGTGGCGTTCCCTTAAATTCCTTTAGTAATGAAATGTGGAAAACATCATGGACTTTACTACCCTCCGGAAGGGCCAACTTATATGCCACTTGTCCAATTTTCTTGACGATCTGGAATGGTCCAAAATACCGTGGAGATAATTTTGCTGATGTCCGTTTGGTTACGCTGAATTGACGATATGGATGTAGGCGAAGCCAAACCCACTGTCCCTCCTTGAACACAACGTCGCGGTGGTTTTTGTCATATGCAAGACGCATTCTGTCTTGAGCACGTATGAGGTGATTCCGAGCAGCGCTCAAGATTGCATCTCTGTCCTTCAAAGCAGCGTCTACTACTTCTATTCTGGATGATCCTGGTTCGTAGGATATAAGCCTCGGTGGTTCGCGGCCATATACGACCTTGAAGGGAGAAGTACCCAAAGCCGAGTGGAGAGAGGTGTTATAGCAGAACTCAGCCCACGGCAGCCAGTCTACCCACCTGCGTGGGTGATCTCCTACCATACATCTGAGGTACATTTCAAGTGTGCGATTAACAACTTCTGTTTGACCATCCGTTTGTGGGTGATAAGATGAAGAAAATGCCAAGTGTGTGCCACATAACTTAAAGAGTTCCTTCCAGAATAAGCTTGTGAAAACTGCATCTCTGTCGCTGACTATTGTTTCAGGCAGGCCGTGTAACTTAAAAATATTAGAGAAAAAGGAATGAGCCACTGACGCGGCTGTGTAGGGATGTGACAATGCCATAAAGTGAGCGTATTTGGAGAATCGATCCACCACTACATAGATAACAGATTTACCTCCGACCTTGGGTAGCCCGTCAATAAAATCCATTGAAATATCAGCCCATATGTGTTCAGGGATTGGTAGGGGTTGTAGTAAACCTGCTGGGTGCAAGTTTTCCCATTTATTTTTTTGGCAAATAACACAATTGGTGATGAAGTCCTGTACAGAAGATGCCATGCCTTCCCAATAGAATTCTCTTTTAATGCGATGAAGAGTCTTTTGAATCCCTTCATGAGTAGCATTATGAACTGCTGCGAGGATGGTAGGGATATAATTAAAGTCGGTTGGCACATATATTTTGGTCTTGTAATAGACCACACCATCATGGACGGACCAATTAGAATCCCCCCCTTGTGTTGCTGCTTTGTTGATAACAATCTGGCCTTCCTTGGAGTGCTGATAATGCTTCCTTAAATCCTCCATTAACTGGGCATGAACCATAGTAACTGCCATGAGGGTTGCTGGATTTGCATCCCTCCGTGATAGAGCATCTGCCACGCGGTTCAGTTTTCCAGGTTTGTATTCGACTTCAAAATCAAAGCCCAAGAGTTTACTCATCCAATGTTGTTGTGGTGAGGTTGTAAGGCGCTGCTGCAGTAAGTATTTTAGGCTGTAATGATCAGTTCTGATCACGAAAGAGCGGCCCCAAAGGTAGTGCCTCCAGTTTCGTATGGCTTGTACTAAGCCTATCAGTTCACGCTCATATGCCGGTAGTTTAAGGTGGCGGTCTGCGAGCTTCTTGCTGAAGAAGGCAATGGGGTGGTTGTCTTGTTGTAGAACTGCTCCAATACCCACCCCTGATGCATCACACTCAATTACGAATGGCTTGGAGAAGTTGGGTAATTGCAATACTGGTGAACTGGACAGGGCAGTTTTGAGCTTGTCAAATGATGTTTGAGCTTCGTTGGACCATGAAAATGCATTGCGACGAAGGAGTGCAGTTAAAGGTGCTGCATGCACACCAAAGTTCCTGATAAAACGTCGGTAAAAACCAGCTAGACCCAGGAATCCGCGAAGAGCAGTGGTTGTGACTGGTATAGGCCAATCAATGATGGCTTGAATTTTTGAATTATCTGCTGCCACCCCATTTCCAGTAATCACATGTCCAAGATAAGCTACCTTTAGCACGCCAAAAACACATTTCTGCCTTTTTAGGAACAATTGATGAGTTTGGAGTAATCCAAACACAATTCTAATGTGTTGTAGATGCTCCACCCAAGTGTGACTGTAGATTAATATGTCATCAAAAAAGACCAAGACAAATTTACGAAGATGGGGCCCGAATACCTCATTCATAAGTGCTTGGAAGGTGGACGGTGCGTTGCACAAGCCAAAGGGCATTACGAGAAATTCAAAATGTCCATGGTGAGTGCGAAATGCTGTTTTTTCAACATCTTCTAGACTCATTCGTATTTGATGGTACCCTGAGCGCAAGTCGAGTTTTGTGAAGAACTGAGATCCGTGAAGTTCGTCTAAGAGCTCATCAATTACCGGAATGGGAAATTTATCCTTAACGGTATGTGCATTGAGTTCCCGATAATCTACACAAAAACGCCACGAGTTATCACTTTTTGTAACCAGGAGTACTGGAGATGAAAACGGGCTTCGACTTGGTTGAATTTGTCCTCTTTTTAGCATCTCCAAACACTGCTTCTCAATTTCATCCTTTTGCAGTTGCGGGTAGCGATACGGTCGTACAACAACAGGATCTGTCCCAGCTTTTAGAATAATTCGGTGATCACAATTGCGTGGTGGAGGCAGTGCCATAGAATCAGAAAAAATGGCGTCAAAGTAATTCAAAAGCTCCTCCATTGCTTGATCATTAGAGATTGCAGGATGCATAGAGTACAAAGTAGTGCCAAATGGAGCTGCATCTCCCGTCCAAGTAACGGTTCGGCCATGTATGGTAAAGGTGACCCTTTGCTCCCTAAAGTTGCACACGATATCTCCCAATTCCTCCAACCATTTTACCCCAAGGATAATATCAAACCCCGTTATCGGTAAGACAAAAAGATTAATCAGGAATGTGGCACCAGCCTTACCAAGTCTCACTTGTTCGCACACACCTGTACTGAGTAGCTTTTCTCCATTAGCCACTGCCACACGAAAATCCTGGCGAGGTGTTATCGGCAATCCGAGTGAGAGGGCAGTGTGGGAATTGATGAAATTATGGGTGCTCCCTGAATCAATCATTGCAAGAACATAACTATCTGCCAATTGAACTTGCACTTGAAGCGTGTTGGGGTGACGAAGTCCAGCCATGGCATAAAGGGAAACCGTGGGCTCAATGTGACTTTCAGACCCTTCTTCCTCGTCATCATCCATCCAAAGGCAGAATAGGCGTTTGCATCTATGTCCCGGTACATATGTTTCATCACAGTTGTAACAAAGTCCCTTCGCTCGCCGTTCTGCTGCTTCAACTTTGGACAGCCTCTTCATGTACGGAGGGGCTGACCGAGTTATTGAAGGTCCTGCAACCGGTGGTAATGGAGTGGTGGTTGTTGTCGGGTAGTGCACTGTCTTTGGAGGCAGTCGTAAAGTTCTGGGATGAGCCGAAGTCCAAAGCTGTAACTTTCTCGCGAATAGTCTTGCCTCACTGAATGCCATAGTCAGATTCAATGGTTTTTGATATTCCACATCTATGCGCAAGACCTCATCTAACCCAGCTGTAAAAATAGAAACTTGGTATTCCATACGAAGTGGTGGAACACGTGCTAGGCTGTTCTGAAACTGTGTGATGTACTCCTCAATTGGACGGCCTTGTTGTTTTAGATTTGTCAAATCCCCTAATGGATTTGCACCACCAGGGGGACCAAATCTGTGGGTGCAGTAATCTCGAAAAGATTCCCAAGAGATATGGGGCTGGTCTTGGCGTAGATGGTGATACCACAACTGAGCATCTCCAGTGAGATAGTAAGCAGCCATAGAGACTCGTTTTGCAGGGGGGACGTTCTGATTCATGAAGAATAACTCACAACGATAAAGCCAACTGAGTGGATCTTCTGTGCCAGAGAAAAGGGGAAACTCAAAATGTGATCCAGGAGCAGTAGCCATGTGATTCATGTTGTCAGGTGCATGTACCACGGCCTGATCAGGATTGACAGCTTCTGTTGTTGCAGTTTTACCTCCATCTGCAAGTAATTTTTCCATCAGTTGTTCAAGGCGATCTATGGATTCTTTCGGATTGGAGACTTCTTCCTTTGACGCAAACACCCCATCGCATGTGGTGCAAGATCTCGTCACAGGCCTTCGGGTGAGTGGGAGGGTAGATTGAGCTTTGGAAGGGTTGGCTATGTTTACTGTTTGGGCAGAAAACTAAGAAGAATATAATTATGCAAACTTTTATCAAGTTGGATTTTTTTGTTGAGAATTCCAGAAACTCCCTCAGACTTTTCTTGCTAAAAACTTGCATGCTTTTTCCCTGCATTCAACTGGCCTTTAAATAGGCTTTACAGAGCTTGGAAAATAAAATAAAGAAAACAATTAAACAGAAAACAATAATTCAAAGATTGCAATCAGAAAATGATATCTCAAATCTCTAAGGATCTCAAATCCCTGACAGTGACATGTCTATCAGATTTGTCTGATTTATTTGTCTCCCAGATTTGTTTGATTTTATTTGTCTTCCAAATCAGTTTGATTTGCCATTGTGATTTGCTGACTTTTATCTTTCTTTCTTTTACGGTGATACTGACGCCCTGTGAATGCATCAAAATACCATGAGATACTTTGTTTGATCTTCATTTAATTCTAGATTCGCATCTATTACTTATTTTGTTCTACAACAACAACAACAACAACAACATCCAAGCCTTAGTCTCAAAAGAGTTTGGGGTCGGCTAATATGAGTTGACACATGAAACCGGAGCTAAAAAAGATAAGAAAGGTAAAGATAAGAAAGATAAAAAATACGTTAAAATAAAAGGATTACTTATTTTGTTCTATTTTTGGAAACTCCTAAAATAAATTAACAAATAAAATGAGCATGCAAACACTACAGTGCATAAACAAATTACTTTATTTAGTTTTTTTTACGTTACTATGTAGTATACTAGTATGTAAGGGTATTTTTGTCAATTAATTAGCATACTCTAAAGCGTTACCTTAAACAAAGATATTAGTATGCCATTCTCACAAACTTAACTAAACACAGTTGGTAATTTGACATTTCTGCTATCTGATTTTACCTTCAGGAAGGGTTATCTTATAATCGAGAGTTGTATGAGAATAACCCGAACCAATAAGAGTTATGCTGGACTAACTTCCCCATCATTTCTGCATAGCATTTTGCTCATTTTGATTGCTGTCTCGCCTCTACATTATGAACTGTTCATTAACTCGCTTAAGGAATATCATGCAGACTTGGCCAGTGAAAGAACCAGATGTGATGGTGTCAACTCCAGCTGCACTTTTAAATTATATTTACACAATTGACTCAGAGAATTGCCACCGTTCTGATTTTATACGTAGTGTGACACATGTGGTAAATATTCTTCCAATATAAATCCAATATCACTCAGCTTATATGCCCTTTGCCTGTTTAGATGGATTTGGGGAAGATAAAGTGGGAGAGCCGGAGAGTAAAACAATTTTTTAGATGTTTTGACAAGGAATAAGCTAGGAAGCTGGGATGTGAGAGAAAAAGTCAGTGGATACTACACAAAAGCTTTTTTCTACGGTGGTTGGCGGAGAGATTTTGACTGAAGAGAAAGGATTTGTTTGATACGTAGTATTAAATAGTAGTCACACACTTTAACATTTGATTTTAAATATGTCCTCATATCAGATACTCATTTCTTTCTCTCCTTCTCTTCGGCAGAAGAATAATAAGTGTACCTGTTTCCCACGCATGTTCTATTCTATCTTATTTCACTCTTATTATCTGTTTTATTAACACCATTTTTTTTTTTGTGTGTGTGTAACACCAGGTTTTTGATGAGGCAGACATGCTTCTTTGTGGGAGTTTCCAAAACCAAGTCATTCGACTCATAAATATGCTCCGTTTTGATGAGAAACAAGCGTCCTGCTTAAAAAAGCCTGAAAGTGAGATAGTGATGGGCCCGGGCCCCAATTCTTCTCCTTTGTATGACCGTGAAGAGGACAATGGAGAGTCACAAGATGATTGCAGCAACAAAGAAGATGATTCGGAAGATCATTCAGGTGTACCAGAGTCAGAAATTGATTGCAAGGTTGGCAAGAGAACAGATCGGAGAAGAGTGAGAAAAACTTATGCGAGAAGTAAGCAGTACATTTTTGTAGCTGCCACACTTCCTGAGAATGGGAAAAAAACTGCCGGAGGAGTGTTAAAGCGGATGTTTCCTGATGCATGCTGGGTCAGTGGAAACTACCTCCATTGCCACAACCCAAGGTGCACTTTCTTCTATAACCCCCGGCCCCCAGTGGTGGCAGTAATTTCAAATTGTGCATTATTATTTTTGTTGTTTTTGTTATCAACTGTTATTGTTATCATCATCATCATCATCATCATCATCATCATCATCATCTCCTAGTAGCATTAGTAAAAGCAGCTGTTGAGTATCCAGTTATTCATATAACCATTTCCTCTGTTGTAAGCTTTGACATTCTTTTATCAATTATAGGGATGTATGATTGATGGACTTTTTGTCCCTTTGAACTTTCCTTGCCTAGTATGATGATTATGTTGCCTAACAATGTTATCACTTGATCATATGACTTTTGAAACTAAATTGTTGTTTGGTAGGGGGATTTTGGAGATGCGGAAATGGGACTGATTGGCATTTATTTTATCAATTTTATTCTTACTTTTAAGATGATTGGACAAAAAGCAAAGATGATAAATTAAATAAAGATGCATTATCTAACTGACATATACAAAACAGTAATTTTGCAGTCTGAGGACTGGTTTGGTTTGGGGATTTCAGAGGGAATGATTGATCTATGCTTTACTTATTTACCCTTTCTTGTTAGTCTTCACTACAAATAACTTCATGATTTGTTAAATAATGTGCCTTCTACATAGTTCTTTTTCAATCTTCACTCTATTTCCGACCAGCAAAACATAAGATTAGTTTAAAATTAAATGTCTCCCCTCCCCTTCAAGATCCTGGAATCAAATAAAGACTTAGGGAGTGTTTGCAACTGCTTAAAAAAAAGCGCTTCTCGGTTTTTGGCTTAAAAAAGCTAAAAAGATTGTTTTCAATTGACAACTTCTACTTAAAAAAGCGCTTCTCGGTTTTTGGATGAAAAGTGCTTTTTACTTTTTCTATTACACAAAAAGCACATATTTTACCAAACACTACCAACTTTTACTTTTAAAATCACTTTTTTCTCAAACACTACCAACTTTTACTACTAATCACTTTTTCCAAAATCACTTCAAAAAGTGTTTTTTAAAGCAAAAGCATTTGCAAACACTCCCTTAAAGGCTACAACTTTTTTACCAAGAGGGTGCTATAAAGAAGAATCATGATCAGTTGATCCCATAATCCAACGTTCTGTGATGATAAGAGTATTGAAGTGTAGTTTGGCAAGAAAAATTTAAGTGGAATGAATTTGATTCAATGCATGCGTAATACATAAAAAAGACAAAAACATATTTTGCTCCATTACAATTATTACATTTTACCAAACAAAATCTTAGTGTTTTCTGTTTTGCAGCTCTATTAAAAGCATTTGCAAATGTCATCTACTACAAACAAAAAAGCTCACATGTTGTGTATCCATGCCCTCTCAGGTTGGAGCAGAGGTGGGTTGAAGTTACAACTGACACTCAAGCTGATACCTTGATAAATGCTGTAAAAGATGGAATCCACTCCTCTGGAGCACTTAGAACAATGGTGTTCGCGAACACGGTTGATGCCGTGGAAGCCGTTGCCAAGATCTTGACTCAGGCAGGGATCAAATGTTTCTGCTACCACAGTAATTGCTCTCTGGAGCAACGTACAGAAAGCTTAATTGATTTTCAGCAAAGCGGAGGCGTTTTCGTGTGCACTGACGCTGCTGCACGCGGTCTTGATGTCCCAAATGTTTCACATGTTATTCAGGTATTTCCGGTTTTGATAAGTTTGTTCCCTACTTTCGGTAGTTGGAGAAGTATGTGCATAGATAAATTGAGTAGATTTTTAGGTTGTTTAGATTGTGAGAGACAGGCAAAAGTAAAGAAGAAAGAAGTAAACGAATGTATAGTGTAAAGACAAACTACACTTTAATAATATACCGAGTATTTGTTGATAGGTACCTCAACCAACGCAGCAGAACTTGTAGTGTATTGATGAAAAAACCTTAGAACTACAGTGACGGAAATACAAAGAAAGAGAAGAGCCGATACTATTGAGTCAGTTCGAGTCGTCTCGCACTCCCAAGCCTAATTCCAGATCCAATTTCTCCTACCCCTCCTCCCCTCACCAACTCCTATTATATTACTTTCCTAATGGGCCGGCCCTCGACCCTAAGTTTCTGGGCCTAGAACGCTTTTACTGTACAAAATTAAAAGAATAATATTATTTTTATTACTAGTACTATCCAGGTCTCTATCATTACTCCCTCCTTTGACAACCACCTTGTCCTCAAGGTGGGGAGTAACCGAGTAAGAAACAGCCATGCCAGTAATCTTTATCCTTGCTCCTCTGCCTTCCCAGTACTTCAGCTCAAATAGTTTTCTTCGTTTTGGTATCCACTCAATCTCTTTGTCAACATAATGATCCTTTTGGCGAAGGTTGTTAACTCCTACACTGCCCCATGCCTGATCTCTTACAGAATCTCCAATTGTGAATATAAAGCCAGCTTTGGGACTGTAAGTCTCAGTCTTCACATCAGGCATCAGCAACCCAGGAAGGTAAGACAGAACTCAGCACACTGCCACCAGGCCCACTCCATGTGCTCAAGACTTCTCTCAGCAACTGCATGTCGTGCCCCTCTTCCATTGTCTCATGATTAACAGCGCATTTGCACCTTACATAGTACACTGTGTTCGCTGTCTCAGCTGCAGGTTTCCCACACTGTTTATTACCACAGATCACATCAATCCAATGGTTAAGATTTGAGCTAACATATTCACTTTCAAAGGTCTCCCTGTGCTTGCTTATGACTTCTTTTAGAAAACCATTAACCCATCGAAGAAGCACAACATCACCTATTGGTTCTCCATCTTGTTTTGGACTTGGTGCTCCAACTGGTTTTGCAAGATCCCTGTAAGTAGACGATTTGATCAAAACCATAGTTTCTAATGGACCACCAGCCAGAACCCAAGGAGACACAGGACACTCAGTTAATTCATTATAAGATCTTCCAGCAAGTGTGTTGAGAGCCATCAAGTGCTCAACGTTTGTAATCTTTTCTCTTCCAACTTTCCGTAGAGATATTAGCCCGCATTTTATGTGTCCAGGGACTCTTAGGAATATCAGAATCTGAACTCATTGTGACAAACACTTCAGCTGGTCCACTACTTTCCAACACATTAAGCAATAGTTCAAGTAAGAGTCCACCCAAAACACTGCTTTTTGCCAAAGGCAAAAACGATGACCATGCTGCCTCATTCCCATTCCGAAAAGCTTGATGGACATAATTAACTGAGAGGCATTGAACAATTGAAAGGAACTTTGATCCCAGATTTGATAAGGAAAAATAGAAAACTCCAATATGGTAGCTCATGGGTTGCACATCTCCAACTCCATACTCAATAGCTCATGGGTTACAACTCCACAGCTTTAAATGTACCGTAAACGCCTTTAAAATACAGAATGAGCTGTGCCTTTCTCTGGATGCACTGGCTGAGACTTGATCACACTGTTTGTGCTGATATCATTATCATCATTATCATTATCATTACCCTAGTGCCGCAAAGGCTCCCACTTACGGTGGGGTAAGGGGGGGTCAGATGTACTAAAGCGCATGGAAATTGTTTCCGAATGACCCGTGGTGAAAATCGCGTCGAAAATTACATGGACTGACTGCTGCTTCATAACAAAGAAGCGCAGGCAGTTTAGTGAACCATTTTGCTTTATTACATCATATTCCCAATCCAAAAAATAGTGAGTCTTTGGCTACATTGCAAATGATGGAAACAATGTGTTGATATCCATTAAAATAATGTGTTGACTTCTTCATGAGGATTGATGTGGATCAAACTGAGAGATGCTTTTTCTGAAGGACCGTTCAGCATTTCAAATGTTTGTAGAGGAAATGAAGTATCTGGATGCCACCACGAGTTGTCTGTGACATTGCAATTAAGTGATCTTGCAGTAATGCTCCAGTCAGCGGCTGTGGTAATTGATGACCTGAAACACTTTTACTTCTCCATGGTGGCCAAACTAAGTCACTGCCATACCTGTGTGTCCCAACTTCTTCAAAATTAACTCCATCATGAAGCCAACCCTTCATACCCCAATGCCTAAAGCTTGAATTACCAGCGTGAACTGTTGGAACTCTTTGTCTTCTGGAATCATCAACAGATACCTTGGACAAGGAAGCTGAAACATGCTTCTCACCAACCACTACATCTATGGATGTGGCAATTGACGACTGTGCAACCTTGCTAGTATGAACTTTACTTCCTGATATAGCATATACACGAGTTTCTGAGCCAAAGGGATCAAAGGGAGAGCAAAAAAGAGCACTATAACAGGAAACCAGGGCAACCCTGTCATCCACAACCCTGTTCATATCTGTCACTCGCCATGCCCAAGAACTATCATCTGAATGAAGTGAAGGAGGGCGCAAAAAACTGGTCCCAGAAATTTCAGAAGGATTCCAGTACATCACAACACCATCATAGGAGTGTTTATAATCCACACCAGGACACCCCTGGACCTCAAATTCTTCTTCTCTGACAGGAGAATGGTGCAGACTGCAGACTCTTTTCAGCAACAACATTGTTAGCTACTTTCAGATGTTCAGAATAATAACCTTGATCATAGCTCAATTTATCAAACCCCGCAGAGGATTTATTTTGGTTTTGCATTTCAATTTTGTCCTCCTTTTTCTCAAATTTTGACTCACCCTCACTGGCTGGTGTCACTGAGGGGCCTGATGGTGATTTGTTTTCTTCATCTATCATATATATACTGAAATCTGAATGCATTCCTCTTTTTCTATGATCACCAGAGCCAACTGATAGAGCCCAAGATTTTCTCTTGGTGTCCTCTCCATTGACTAGAGACATCTATCTCTCTTCCGACTCGGCTATGTCCTTGATTCCTGGATACCTTAACTTTGTTAGCTGTCGTCTGAGGACTGAGAGACTCTCTTCTCGATGGCTTTGTACTTTGACCCAAACTGAGAGAATCGGCTCACGATGAATCCTGGGAACTGAAAAAAGTTGTTTGTGACTGAGACAAAACCCGTGCACGCGATGACGCACATGACTGAGGATCGGCAGACGAAGAAACATGATTTTCAGTTGGTCGACGCTGTCTAGGAGGGCTCCTTGCTTGCCCTCTAGTTCTCCGGCGACGCTGTTTACGCAGATGATTTATCATCTTGTCCAGCATCGTTTCCATCTTCATGAGATGGCGTTCGACACTTCCGGTGCTATTCTCCATCTGCGCACGCGTGACAGTTCTTCAGCGCACACATAACAGTCCTCTTCCAGCGATCGTTTGATCCTCTGATACCAATGAAAGGTACCTCAACCAACGCAGCAGAATTTGTAGTGTATTGATGAACAAATCTCAGAACTACAGTGACGGAAATACAAAGAAAGAGAAGAGCCAATACTATTGAGACAGTGATAGGTACAAGGGAATCTGACGATGAATTTCTGGAATACTAAAACTGAAAATGTTGAAATTGAACAGAAAGGATACAAGTGAGGGCAAATTCGAGAGTGCCCCGGTCTCTCCCAAGTCCCAATTCAGATCCTAAGTTCTGCCTAACCTCCTTATTCTACTCCCCTCTTATTTATAATAAATTCCCTTATGGGCCAGCCCAAGCTAACTACCACCTAGCCCAAACCCTTATTTATACAATATCACACCCCTTAGTCTAATTCTACTATTATTATTAGTCTTGGAAGTCCATGTCCCTATCAGATCTCCCCCCTTGAAAAACCACCTTGTCCTCAAGGTGGGTGATAGGACACATCTTTGATCATGAACTTCATCTTCATCCTGGAGCCTCTTCCCTCCCAATATCTCCTGGATTGCTTAACCAGAAGCTTCAGTACTCGTTCTTTCAAAATCACAAATGGTGTTGCTACAGAATATATGTCGAGTGCAGTTTCATTTGTTGCAGTAGACTTCAAACACTCACTAGCTACATGTGTTTCCCTGTTTTGATGAGACTCCTCAAGGATTGTAACTTCTGAGATTATTAATGTGTTGGATGCAGTTTTAATGTTATTCGAATTACTCAATTCATTGTCTGCAACAAGCCCTATGCAAAGTTCTCCATTTTTCATCCACTTTTCTGTACAGCAGCTAGTGTCAATGATAGAATGATTTGTAATAGCAGGCTTTGTCTCATAAAACTTCAACGGCCGCCAGCAGTTGTGCACAACAGTGCTGTCATGCGATTTCAGATTATCTAACTGTCAAAGTCCCAAATCTGAGAATTTTTCTTCTTTCCTTTCCCCTATAGGCTGAAAACCCAGCGAGGGTGTAACCAGATTAGCAAGGCAAAGTCTAGAACCCTTGCTTCCTCTCCCATCCAGGCCAGAATCTATTAAAGTACGGACCTCATCAATTAGAAGGCTATGCTCAACCACCAAAAACTTTCTGAATGGTATAGTTGCTTTAGTCTCTTGAGATGCAAAGTTTTGAGTAATTCCATACTTCCCAGTAGCAGAATTTGTATTTATACCGTGAACACCAGCATTCTCCTCAACCTGAATCTGCTTCTGCTTATCAGGAGACATTGAGCTAAATAAAACTTCAATTCCGTTTGCCACTTCACCAGTTGAACTATGACGGAGGGTAACTCCCAACATAGTCCTACTAGGCAGTACCTTAACCTCCACACCCCTGGTGGTAGAATTTCTAGTACCATCAGCGCCTCGTTGATTGGAATCATCCCCATTAGGGGCTCTAGAAACAGCCTGCCCCGGTTTCAGCAACACAGTTGTAGTTGATAATGCACCAATTCCTGTCCCTACTAAAAAGAGTTGAGACTGATCCTCTAGTTGCCTTGGCAATTGCTCTTTCACTTTTCCCAAACGAATCCCATTTTCATCCCTATCAGGCTGTTTCAAATATTCTGGATACTTTGGCAGATATCCGGTAGTTTGAGTCGTATCATCCTTCGGGCCAGGTTCCTTGATTGATGGTTCAGCCGGCCTCAACTTAGAGGTCATTGTGGGAGATGAAACTTGAACACTGTTAGAAGAGGCGTGCGATGAAACCTGCAAATTGGGTAGATCTGTTTGTGATGAAATCTGAGAATTCGAAGTAATTGTTCGCTCCAAAGCTGGCCAACAGGATGAAGCTGTTGGCGATGAAGATCGGTGAGGAGAAACAGTTCGTTGCGAACTAGGAGAAGATGCTGATAGCGACTGCGAACTGGGCGAAGCAAGAGATGAAGTCCGCGAACGAGAAGATGAAGTTAGGGATTTAGAACTGTGAGACGAAGTTCGCGAAGATGTCTGCGATTGCGAACCAGGAAGAGCGAGGGAAGAAGAAACCTGATTATTTTCAATCGGCCGACGGTGTCTAGGAGGACTCCTCGCTCGGTCTCGATGTCGCTTGAGTCTGTGACGAATTTTTCCCAACATATGGCGCATCTCCTTAGCCCAATCCCTTTCAACCTTTTCTGCCAGCTTCTCTCCTTTTCCGCGCGAAGCTTCCTGATCGGATCTTCCTTGCTTCCTGCACAGTTCCTTTCTGCCATGAGAAGACACACGCTCCTCAGTGTTTGCGCACAAATCAGAGGCGATCGATTTCCGTTCTGACCTTCGATATTCCTTGCGCTGCTCCATTTCTTTATCGCCTGACTTAGATCGAAGCTTCCCAGGGCAACTGCTCTGATACCATTGATAGGTACAAGGGAATCTGACGATGAATTTCTGGAATACTAAAACTGAAAATGTTGAAATTGAACAGAAACGATACAAGTGAGGGCAAATTCGAGAGTTCCCCGGTCTCTCCCAAGTCCCAATTCAGATCCTAAGTTCTGCCTAACCTCCTTATTCTACTCCCCTCTTATTTATAATAAATTCCCTTATGGGCCAGCCCAAGCTAACTACCACCTAGCCCAAACCCTTATTTATACAATATCACACCCCTTAGTCTAATTCTACTATTATTATTAGTCTTGGAAGTCCATGTCCCTATCAGACAGTTCCAGTCGTCTCGCACTCCCATGCCTAATTCCAGATCCAATTTCTCCTACCCCTATTCCCCTTACCAACTCCTATTATATTACTCTCCTAATGGGCCGGCCCTCAACCCTAAGTTTCTGGGTCGAACCCTTTTATTTTACAATATTAAAAGACTAATATTATTCTTATTACTAGTACTATCTAGGTCTCTATCATTTGCATAGTGTTCAACCGAGATGGTATATACATCATTTCATTCCTTTCCTAGTTTCCGTGGCCAAAAAATATACTCCTTCCGTCCCAATTTGTTTTGCAAAATTTCCTATTTTGGTTGTCCCAAAATGGTTTTCCACTTTCTATTTTAGGTATGTAAATAAGAATAAAGTGACAAATTTGCCCCTACTTTTACTTTTTTCCCATCAACTTAAAGACATCTACTTTTAGGATGATGGACAAAAGTGTAAAAAACAAGCATCATTTATTGTCATTCCTTAATCCTTGTGCCGGTCAAAGTTTGCAATTGAATTCGGGACGGAGGGAGTACATCATTTTATCAATTATAGACCCATTTGTTTTTCAAAACTTCTGCCAAATCCATGATGCACATCCTGATGTTTTTTGTATATATTTTTTAATGGGCCCACCACTTTTTTCCCTCCTAGAAAATTTTAAACTTCACTTCCCTCCCGACTTTTTTCTCTTCTAATTCTATTGAAACAAACAAAGCATAACTTCATCTTTACATATTATTTTTTAAGGTGGTATTTAAATTTTAAGGTTAACTTCTTGCAATACCTCTTAAAACGTGAGCAGTAGTTGGAAATTTGCTTAGGAGTGTGCAGGATGGGGTTAGGATGATCATAATAAGTAGGAATAGGAATAAGCGTAGTTCTGAAACTAATGTCAAGATCCACTGTAGTAACGAACGGTATTGAGAATGCATTACAAAGGTTGCAAGCGTGTAGGGATATAAAAGTCGTGTACATTTTTGCTTATTACTGATCGTTGAGAACATTGATGCCATTTATAATGCGGCAATTGATTTTACTCGAACTTCCAGAATTGCTGGAGTTTGCTCTCTCGTTTGAGCCTGAGCTGATTTGGAATCTAACAATGCCATCTTTTTTTTTTTTTCTGTATTTCATGATAGGCAGAATTTGCTACATCTGCTGTAGATTTTTTGCATAGGGTTGGCCGTACTGCCAGAGCGGGTCATTCTGGCCTTGTGACCAGCCTGTTTACTAAATCAAACAGGGATCTTGTCTCCACCGTTCGTCAGGCTGAAAATCTGGGGGAACCGGTGGTAAGTTGTTTTTGAAAGATTTTGAACTTTTGGTCTCTGTTTGGTCTCCCTAGAATAAAATCTATAAAATTTCTTCCCTTTAGAACAATGTGTGATGTGTGTCATCTTGCTCTATGGTCAAACTATTTTTAATTAATTATCTGCAGATTTGATCTTGAAGGTCAAGGAAAGTTGTGCTTTCATGGATCACTTTGTAACCATTAATTTCACCTTCTCTTATGTGTCTGCAGGAGAAGGACTTTAGTCGAAAGCGGGGATTCCGAAATAAGATTAAGAAGAGAGGTAATTGACTCTAATTACACTTCTTTATCTACATTGTCTCAAAATGGTAAACCGTGGTCAAACAGCATGCTTGGATTGATGAATTGACACTTCATATGTAAATAATATAATAGGATCTATAAACATGGATGTTGTAGCAGCCATGGAAGAACATGTTCTCGCATGATGAAGCTTTGCCTTATTCCGTTAGCCCGATATATTGATGCATATGCAGTTGAAGGTTTGTAAAAGGATAGATAATTGCGGATTGTTTCTTTGCACTTAACCCTTTAAATATTGTGGCAATGACACTTTTGGTACTCAATGTTTCAACTTTTTAACCTTCAGTCCTTTAAATATT